AGAAAAAGAAGCAGGAATATACTTCGACATAGTACCTGAAAGAGAAAAAGTACTACTGGATTAGACCTTTGGCCAGGTACAAGTAGCTAGGGTGAAAATCAATATATATGCATTGCACACGAGCTTTACTTTCTGTCGCCAATAGATACCTTGGCGCCGTTCGTTTCGTATGCCTTCGAGTTTCATTATGCAAAATACCTAAATTTATGCTAACAATAGTGATAAAACATTTAACTCCTTAAAATTTTTATACATTTAATTCTAATAAAAATTGTATTAACCTAATAATTAATTTGCTTCTATTTAATAGTGATATTTTTTAAATTTTTCAGTTCTGCATAATTTTTTTTTTATTGTTAATTAATTTATTAGCCCAAAGCGGCGGTAGCTTAGAAAGGGCTGTTAGTTCGAAGCGGCATTTTGCGCTGTTTTACTATAATGTCCGTGTCTCCTTGCAAATGTTGTTACCAAATATTATCGCTCTGTATTATAGTAAAGAAATTAAATAATGAAGAATCTGCAAGAATACATGTGTTTCTCGTACTGTGACAAAAATGTCGGTATCTAGAGCTTCAGATTTGAATTACGTAATCCTCCACCCGAATATGGGGCGTCTGGACGGCGAATTTCGATTGTTTAATCTATTTCTATTTGTAAAAATTTAAGAATTTTGATAACAAATCAACGAGTTCAAAGCGAGCATGGTAACGATGTACGGAAAATAACATTTTTATATCCAGCGCCGACATTCTATAAGATATGCTGTTTTCAAATATTTTGTGATATTGCTGTTGAATTGAATTTTATGTTTTTTACGGGCGAAGAACATGATATTCAATAAATATAGGTAGCACACCAAACGTTAAAAAAGGTCCCATTTGGGCGTAATATAAAATATGAGTGCTTCTAGATTTTATTTTTTATCTTTTTTCCTCCTTCATTACACTCAGAAAATTTTATGCTCCGAATTTTATGAATTATTAAAATAAATTATCCACTTTAATATTAATAATTTAATGATCATATAATCAAATGAACGATCATTTTGTAATGTTATTATAGTTTGGAAAATGACTGCCTGAAATGTTCATTACATTAAAAAAAATTATCAGATCTTGTTTAATTTTACCTTATTTATTTCAAAGCATCATGTACTATCAATCTTATTTAATTTTACTTTATTTTACGCAAAATAAAGTTCATAAATTTAGTGCTTAGAGTTTTTACCGTTTTACCAAAGTAAAGATGTTTGTACAAGAATTATGTGTGAAAAAATTGCGCAAAATGCAGTAAAAAGTGCTTTAATCAGATAAATTATATCCTATTTGGAAAAAACTGCGGCTTTCATAATCTCATCACTATACAACGTATCACATTTAATAATTAAAAAGAGTTATGTGATACAAACTCCGTAGGTTTCAGTGTTAAAGTAAACCAGATCGTCCCTACTCTTTCTTGACGACATGTCGGTGACGCACGCCCCGCCTATCTCTCCATGAATCCATGAATCTTTCATGGTTCCATGAATCTTTCCAGCCTGACGTCATAAACGGCAACCAGTAAGAATAGGGGGAATGGCTGGGGCCAGGCGCTTGTTATCCACTGTGGCTTGGCTAACCATCCGACGTCGGATGAGTAGACACTTTCTAAAAGCAGACTATTTCAAGATCGATTCATCGATACAACATTAAGACAGTAAAATAGGGAAAGGCAGCAAGGTGAAGCGTAGAACATTATTGACAGGATGGCGACTGTTGCATGTAGAGCACTTGCGAAATCAGCCAGTAACCATTATAATCACCTAGTTTCAAAAGTAAGAATCTTCAGATGTAAACAATGTATAGTCTGACTTGTAAGAAGTATTATTATTCTAATGCATATACGTGTATAATAAGAATACTTAAGATTAGATCAGTGCAGTGCGATTTAGGGCGTTTTAAATATTAATACTTTAAAAATATAATTACCTTTTTTTAATTCAGCTTTTCTCCCAAGTCTTCATGAGCACTCATGAAGTATTGCAGTGTAACATATGCTTAGAATTTTTCAAGGAAAATAGGCCTTTAAATATTTTTTGTCATTATACTCGGATGTCGCCAAATTTGGCTATGTAATTACAGTTTAAGCCAACTTAAAAAAGCTCCGTATGTGAGTTTCAGACGCGAATTAAAGCATGCTACAAGATTGTAGTTAATTTGCGAGATGAGACGTGCAGAATTGCTTGCCCAGTTATTTGGGACGTTATGCTTGTCGCTTTTTACAAGAGTAAAAAAAATTGGATGGTTTAATCCTAGTATCCGGTGCACACGGGATTTGGCGACTGTATGATGAGCAATAAAAACGAGACATTACGATGAGTAGTAAACGGCTCATTCAAAGAATATATATATACATAGTATATACTATATATATATACATAGTATACTATGTATATAGTAATAGTATATAGTGTATATATAGATGTTTTTTGGCTCATTTTTAGTGTTGGCGATAATTTTCAAAATCGCGCCAAGGCTGCACCGTATACTAGGATTTTACCAAATTTTGGATTTTGTCAATTTCCTTTGACTTTTTAAGTGAAAATACATTGATATGTACATGGACAAAGTCAAGGGAGTGCGTAATGCCGAATTCGTGCAATTCTGTGATTTTTTTTTTTTTTAAAGGGAAAATAGGCCGAATGGTAAAGTTGCTGATAACTGGTAGTTCGGTCTGAGGTCCGAATCCCGCAAACGGGCTGGCTGCGTGGGCGTTTTACATAGTTTTCTCCATGTGTAACAGGTATACAAGCCAGTTTCCCTTAGAAAGTCTTCGACGAAGGCATCCCTCCCCTAAGGCAGATAGCCCTAGTGTGCTTTGCCATATTTAAATAAACCAAACCAATAAGTGAAAATAGGTTGATGTGCACATGGATACCAAGTTTGTTCAGTTCTTAAATATGCGCCAAGCAGTGGGTAATGGGCAATTCTGCACTTCACCCATGCATTACATATTGGGAGATTAGTAATTTGGACGACTAACCATGGCGACTGCTGCGATAAGGAAATACCATGAATTGTTTAACTTCTTACTAGAGATAACTGCATGTATTCAGAGCCAGCATTATAATGCGAGACAGAATTATGTGAGCTATAAAAAACTTTTATTGATAATGAACATTATTAAACTTGTATTATTTTAAATAATAATGAATGAAACAGAATTTTTGAAATTTCATAAATTGTTCCATGTAGTTGTCTGCATCTTAATCTGCATGACACTTGTCATAGTTGTATATGATTTCTTGCCACCTAGAGAACATCTCTTGATGATAATTTTCTCATATATGATGCTTCGGTTAGAGTAGACTGAAGGATACCCCTTGTATTATTGTGAAGTTGTAGTTTCATTTATTTCCAAGTTGTAGTTTCATTTATTGCCAGGTTGTTGTTTCATTTATGGTAACCTGGGTAGTTGAATGCTCCGTAAGTATACTTTTACCTATAATTGGGTGCTTCTTTGACCTTTTTAAGTGAAAATATATCGATGTGTACATGGGCGAAATCAAGGGAGTGCGCAATGCCAGGTTTGTGCAATTTTCTGATTTTTTTTTTAAGTGAAAATAGGTCGACATGTACATGGATACCTAGTTTGTGCAATTCTTTGACTTGTTATTTTGTCTTTGTGTAGCGGCGAATTTTAACGCTGAAATCGTTGCTCCACAAAGCCAAAATAGCAAGTCAAAGAACTGCACAAACTCAGTATCCATGTACCGCCAAAAATCGTCAGTTTTCGTCTAGGCGTACCTACCCGTATATATACTTTTACCAATGCTTCAGATTTAAATTCTAGTGTAAAAAAAAAAAAAAAATATTTTTGGCCTCTGTATCTTGGCAGAGACTAGAATTTTGAGGTACGAGACCCAGTGGTAAGTTATAAAAATCCTCGAGTGTTGTGATTTGATCTGCAGGGTGGCTGGGCTATCCATCTGCCAGGAAGTTGGGAGTGTAAGAGAAAAAATGCTATTGATTTCACACAAAAATTAGTGGAATACTGCATCTTGCTGAATAATTCTGGCATATGGACTGGTTGCATAGATCATTTTTATAGCCTCATATATAAAGTTCTCCAAAAATTCCTAAATTATTACTGCCAGTGTTCTGCAAAAAGTCCTTACTTTCCATCCTGGTTTATGGTCACACAAAGGAATTCATATACCTGCAATACTATAACTAACTGCAGATTGCCGGATCAAAGTTTGACACACTTCGAGCTAATCAATCGTCAGCATACAGCGACACTTCGCGTGTATACGAGCCAGTTTCCCTTAGAAAGTCCTCCACAAAGGCATCCCTCCCCTTAGGTAAATAGCTCTTGAGGCTTTGCCGTAATTAAATAACCTAACAGCGACACTTGGACCATTAAAAAATTGTGGCAATAAATATATATCCAGTAATAGTGTTGGCCCCAGAGATTATATAGCCACACTGAGTAGCAGCATTTGTAGAATTTAAAGAAGCAACATACAGCAAAATTTTTAGAATTTGGAAGAGACTCTGGAGCCAGAATTTAATGGCAATAAAATTTTTGAATTTAGGATTCATACATATTGCACCAGGTGGCAAAATGCGTAGTGCTGGTCTTGCAGAGTTCTCATTTCTGGTTACAATGTATTCCAGAAACATAAAAGTTCCATAAACTCCTGTTGGGGTACAAGACATATTTACTCTTAGAATGCTTATTTAATGTTAATAGTAAGTTAATGTCAATTCTAATCTATGTTTTGAGAGTTTGCATCCCATATACAAATGTGTTTACTTTTTTGTATAAATGAAACGTAACTTTTGTGACTGAAGCACATGCTTGGTATGACTGCATTATTCTTGACATGGAACGTAATGACTCGGAAATAAATGAAACGTGCCATTTTTTTTGTTTGTTTGTCTGTTTCATGTAATAGTCTTGTGTAATTCAAATCTTTTTGCAGGTTTTTTAGTAATAACTACTAAATTTTGTTCATATACATGTTGGATTGGTGACTTAATTTTGTAATGTTTTAAATCAAATATATTTTGTGTAATAGTCTTATGTAATTCTAATCTTTTTGTAGGTTTTTTAGTAATAACTACCAAAGTTTATTCATATACATGTGGGATTGATGACTTAATTTTGTAATGTTTTAAATCAAATATATCTTCACAAAAATATTTAGGAATTGCTTGTGTCATTTTAATTCACTCTGTATGTACTATAAATAACACATATACATAAAACAGGGTTCGTACGGTCCTTGAGAGTCCTTAAGTTTTTTGGATTCGGTTTTTGGTCCTTAATTTCGGCCACAATCGGTAGAAGGTCCTTAATTTTAATCATCGGAAATTTCTGTCTGCTTTTACGACTGCCATTTTGAGTGTGAATTAGCACTTAGCAGGAATATTTTTGGCGATTCATTGATAAATATGGGTATTTTTTTAACGAGTAATAGGTTATAATTTGTTCCTATGTGGGATACTCGAGTTTCTGAGCAAGAAGTGAAACATAAGCATTTCGAAATTATTTTATTTTTTGTAATGAAGAGCTCTCAAACAACTTTTCGCTTTTGAGGATGTGAATTCTTTTATGAAACGGCTAAATTTGGCGACTTATCAACATTTGGTGATTTTAAGATCGGTTTCTATAGAAAATTTTTAATTCTGAGATCAGTAAATTTTTTGACGAGTTTTTTAGAACATTCTAACATTAATAAATTTAATTAAAATAATGGTAATATATTATTGTAGTTATATTTCAGAAATAACATTTAAAATAAAGCATTTTTATTTTTCACTATCATATTATAAAGTTCCATTTTGGCCTCATATTATACAATGTTTTTGAATCTGAAAAATAAGCTAGGTATAATGTTATAAAGCACAATTTACGAAACAGTTTTTATCAAAAGCAAAATAGCTATGTAATTAATTAAAAATGTCTTTTTAATTTTTTCATGGTAAGAGTTTTTCCCATTTCTCAGAATGTTCAGAATTCTCAAAATATGCATCAGCTTTCTCTATAAAATTAATTTCATACTCTTTTCACACGTTTTTTTTTTTCTTTTTTTTCCTTCAAAACATATGTGGGTTTTCGCTGTTACAGAATTGGTAGAGGTAATTTTTCTTTAGGATTTTAGATATTGCAGCTTGGAAAGTTTAAAATGATTTGAAGCCAAATTTATAGATCCACAATTCTAAAAGATTCCAGAAAAATGTTTCCATGGCAGTAACACACAATTTCTTACTTTTTGGAGAACATCTGGAAGAACAATGAAAATATAATACAGTACAAAGTCTTTAATCCAGACATCTATAATCCGGAATGATCTCTAATCCGGGCCTCAAAGCTATGCTGCGCATGCGTATATGCATTTGCACATGTGCATAATACCTTTAATCGTGTGCATAATACGCTTACACATGCACATTTAATGTATAACAGATGGTATAAGCTAGGCTAAAATTATCAAATTATCTATTTCAGTTAATGTTGCAGATTGCGCTGTTCCTTAATCTTCTAATTGGATCCGGCTTATTATTTTTTGCAGACTGTTTTGTAAAAAGTAAGCTTGAACTTTTGATTATGTCAAAAAGAGTTTCCAATTCTGGAGCTGCCAAAGGATCTACAAAGCGAAAGCATGTTTGGATGTCCATCAAACAAAAAGTGGAATTGCTGCAAAAATGGGATAAAGGCATGAAGAAAGTGACAGAGAGGTTAGTGAAAACGAAAAAATTTTGATTGACAAGTTAGTCGGTATTCTCGGCACAGCAATTACAGGACTTGAACAGCGGAACTTTGTTA